AAAAGGTGTTGGAGTCCAAATATGAAACATACAATGTTCTTGGGACCTTAGAGAGTAATAAAGTTGCAAACTTTATCCTGAACTCTCACTCAAAACACATTAAAATGGACCAAAACACCAGATACACTTAGATCCAAAGATGAAATGCAATAAAGTTTGGAACTTTATAACTTACAAAGGTCTAGAAGGTAGGTGAAAGTTGAGATCTTCAATTTCCAAGCTTCAAGGATCAATCTTGCATGAAAACATTACTCCAAAACCACCAAAAACTCCAAAATGGATGAGAGGGAGAGGGGAGGCTCAAATTTTGAAAATAGAGGCTAGGGTTTCTCTCAGGAAGTTCTAGATATGATGGAGGCCAAGAAAATACCCTAAAACATGGATCATTACCTTTAAATATCTTGAAAACCCTAAAAATTTTGTGGGCTTTGGGCTGCATAGTTCTCATGTCGTGAGAATATATTCTCACCTCATGAGGACTCTCATGTCGTGAGAATTATTTCTTACCCCATGAGAACGAGTTTTCACCTAATTTCACTCAAACTTCAAACAATCATAACTTCTTCATTTAAACTCTGTTTCCGGCGTTCTTTATATGCACGAAAAGGTATTGATGAGCCCCACAACCCTATCTAATTACTTTTTACTTAAAACACATCAAACTAAAATCCTTAACTCATAAAAGAAATCTCAAACATCACTTTTTCCATTTTACCCTTTGACTCCAAGACACAAACCAATGCTTCAATCACTTATCCAACATTATCATCATCCAATAAGGTATAAACCCCATTCCATTGAAGCCCAATGACTTTACTTGATCCATTTATTGACCACAACCCCGAAATAAGACATTTCTCGAAACAGGATGTTACACAACCCAAGCTTCTTAAAACCAAGTTGAGACAAATCCTTAACCAAATATTCAATTCTACCCAAGTTTGACCAAAAGTCAATGGTCAAAGCTAAGGTCAAACTTTCCAACAACAGCTCTCCACGCCGTGGCCTTCCTTGTCCGCGTCGTGGGAACTAAATTCCAAAATAGTCGATGATTCCCCAATCGCCACGTCGTGGCAGCCTAAGGCCACATCGTGGGGACCGGTCCGAACAGCTCAAACGAGTTTAATCCATTTTCTTCTGATTTCAAGAGCTCCAAAGCTCATATCTGATCTTTTTCAAGGTCTTAACTGATAAAGTTTCTAACTCTATCTATTAAGAAGGTCCAAACCACCAAGATGTGGACTTTAAGTCTCAAAGGGAACCAAAATGCATCTTTCTTAACTTAATTCATTAAGTCCTAGTCTCCAACCTTCATATATAGATCAACATGATGTTTAGATGGATAAAGTTTCCAACTTTATCCATAATAATGCCACAATCATTCAAGATCTAAACTTTAATACACCAAAATGGCCTAAACGACCAAGATAACTTGCATGGCTATAAGGGAAGGCAAAAGATCATAACTTTCCTAGTCTAAGAGGTCCAAGAAAACATTCTAAACTGATTAAAAGGTATTAGAGTCCAGATCTGAAACATACAATATTCTTGGGACCTTGGAGAGTAATAAAGTTGCAAACTTTATTCCCAACTCTCACTCAAAACTCATTAAAGTAGACCAAAACACCAAATACACTTAGATCCAAAGATGAAATGCAATAAAGCTTGGAACTTTATAACTTACAAATGTCTAGAAGGTGGATGAAAGTTGAGATTTTCAATTGCCAAGCTTCAAGGATCAATCTTGCATGAAAACATTGCTCTAAAACCACCAAAAACTCTAAAAAAATGGATAAGAGAGGAGAAGGGAGGCTCAAATCTTGAAAACGGAGGCTAGGGTTTCTCCCAAGAGGTTCTAGATATGATGGAGGCTAAGAAAATACCCTAAAACATGAATCCTTACCTTTAAATACCTTGAAAACCCTAAAAATTTTGTGGGCTTTAGGCTGCACAATTCTCATGTCGTGAGAATATATTCTCACCTCGTGAGGACTCTCATGTCGTGAGAATTACTTCTCACCCCGTGAGAACGGGTTTTCACCCAGTTTCACTCCAACTTCAAATAGACATAACTTCTCCGTTTCAACTCTGTTTTCGACATTCTTTATATGAATGGAAAGGTATTGACGATCCTCACAACCCTATCTAATTACTTTTGACTAAATACATGTCGAACTAAAACCATAATCCATGCAAGAAGCCCAAAATATTACTTTTCCCATTTTACCTTTTTTCTTCCAAGCACAAATCAAAGGCTTTAATCACTTATCCAACATTATCATCATCCAATAAGATCTAAACCTCATTCCCTTGAAGCCCAAGGCTTTTGCTTGATCCATTTATTGTCGACAATCTCGAAATAAGAAACTTCTTGAAACAATATGTTACAAAAACATTCGAACAACATGTCGATTGTAGGTCAAAACGTTTAAAAACATCAGAATTCGACTACACTACATGAAATATTCGTGTTAAAATTGACTTTAACAATGATGTTGCCATTCAAATTACACCACCTTTCCACCTAATGGGAAGAGACACAGAGAAACACAAAGAGAAAGGTAAAGCCATATATTTGAATTAGTTGAAAGTGATAGATATTTGGATGAGTTGAAAGTGATGTGTGAGGAGATCAAAGGTCTAAATGCAAGATTAGACAAACTTTTAGATTTCTCTACGAAAAAAGAACTTATTAAACAAAATGTTGATGATATGAAACTCTTAATGCAAACACAACTCACTACATCTTGGAGAAACATGAATTAACTTTGGTGGTAAAAGTCAAAATTAGGAAAATGTATAACCTTTAGTTTTTTTTTTCTTTTTTAAGCGTATGTTTTTTTCTTTAAGTTTTAGTTTTTTTATTTCATGTTATGTTTTTTGTTAACATTTTAGGTTTAAATTTAATGTTATGTATTTTTTATTTTAATTAATGAAATTTAAGGTTTTTATTTAAATTTAATTGTTTAAAAAAGTTATAAAAAACAAAACAAAAACAAAGTCTCTATATTTTGGCTCTATTGACAAAAAAAGGCATCCCTGATTTTATTTTATTTATTATTATTATTATTATTATTATTATTATTATTTTGCAATTTAACCATTGAAACCGGTAAACACTTGTAAAACAACCCTTGTAACCGGTTAGTGTCAGTTTTAAGGGTTAAATTGCCAGAAAAAAATGATTTTTTCATTAATAAGGTTAAATTTTAAAGACTTTTCTGAATATTTTCTTTTTTATATATATTAAATTTATTTGAAGAAATCTTATATTTATTTATTAAAAACATAAAATAAAGATACCATCTACATCCCTTTCACTAAAAAAAACTCATATTTTTCTTACTAAAAACACAATAATATCATTTTTGGGATTTCTTTATGATTCTTTTTAATAAATATAATTACTGCAATCATAAAGATATCATCTAAATACAATTCTTAAATAGATCTTCATGATATATGTGGCATAGAAATGCTCTCCTTACGACAAATCAACAAAAGTCATATTAATTGTATTTAGCATGTGTTTTTATAACTATTGTAACTCTTATATTAGATTTATTGTCATAAAAGCCCTCATATTTACATGAAATGTGTGGTTATGTCCTAAGTCCAAATTTGTCTTTCGTTAATGCCTCATATTTAGGTAAGTTTTGTTATTTTAGGCTTTTTATCATGTTGTGAAGAGAAAGAACAATAGGTGAACGATGGTGATGATGGTGGGTCGAAAATGAAGAATGCAAAATGTGGGTCAGAGATAGTACTGATGGAGGCTACCAATGTTTTGTGGTGAAGATGGTGGTGATTGTGTGATGTGTAAATATGAGGGTTTTTATGACGATGGTGACCGGCTAAGATGGTGCAAAATCTGATAAAAGGTTAAACTGAAAATTTTGACAAATATGAGGCATTAATGAACATAAAAACGGATTTTTATTGATTTGTCGTAAGAAGTGCATTTCTATGTCACATAGTTTGTATAATGAAGCTCTATTTAAGAATACCAGTCTTTGATAAACCTTTATTTCCAGAGGTGTCATTCATTTGTGAAAGAATCTTCATTAAGTTGTAGTTTTATGGTAAATGTTTTACACGCAAAACCTACAAATTCAACAATGAAGTGGCATATGGCCTAGAAATGCACTTCTTGCGACAAATCAACAAAGTCATCATAAGTTATATAGGATATAGATTATATCTTTATGATTGTAGTAATGATATTTATTAAAGAGAATTACAAAAAAATCCAAAAATGATATATAAATTATCATTATTGTGTTTTTTAATACAAAAAAAAGTTATCTTTATTTTGAGTTTTTTAATAAACATTTATAAGTTTTCTTTAAATAAGTTTAGTATATATAAAAAAGAAAATCTTCAGAAAAGTCTTTAAATTTTAACTTATTAATGAAAAAGTCATCCATGATTATTTATTTATTATTATTATTATTATTTTGCAATTTAACCGGTACTAACCGGTTATAATGGTTGTTTTGCAAATGTTACCGGTTTCAATGGTTAAATTAAAATAATAATAATAATAATAAAAAATAAAAAACTGATTTTTTTTGTTAATAGAGCCAAAATAAAAAGATTTTTTTTTTTACAGATTTTCCAAAAATTAATAACCAGTCCTTGTATATGACAAACCATGATAAAAAAAATTGAGATGATTTTATAGGCTCGGCATCATTAGGTAAGACCAGACAGAATGGAGTGCGGTTTCAGCTGATGTGACATTTGAAATCGTAGTGAACACCACCCCCTATGCGGTTTGGGGAGTGTTGTTTGGGTGTGCGGCCAAAATCAGGAGCGCTCCCTCTCTGTCACTCTTCGGTGTTGTTTGTTTTGGAAGTGGTTAAATGTCTTTTGTCTTTTTTCATGTTTGCGGAAGAAGATGTGCTTTTGAGAAACGTCTACTCGTCAGAAGCGAAGGGAAAGTGCTCAAAAAATATTTTATCCTCTCTCTTCTTTCTCTTTCTTCTTTCCATGGAATACCACTCCTCCTTGTGTGGTAAGAGTGTGGCAAAATGCACCACCTCCAGCCTAATATCATGAATGCATCATTCTCAATCAATTTTGTTTCTCCTTAGATTTTGCTTCTACTGGTTACAACTTTTAAGCAAGAAACAAAACCAAAAGATCAAGTCCAAAACGAAAGCATCAAATTGTGGGAAACTCGTTTCACACTCGCTTCAAGTGTGAGCAAGATTTTAATGGTGATTTATAAGATAAATTTTCAAATGGTCATATAAGACGCCACATGCATACTATGGAAGAATGAAACAAGCAAATTGGTTATGAGCAGTTTCAAAGTTACTAAGAATCTTCCAACAAGCAGAGAACTTTTTGAGTGTCCTTCAACTATATCAGAGGACTCTTCAACTGTATCAGAGGACTACAAGTGTCCTTTCCATCTATCCAAGAGGCAATAAAATACTATTTTTTTAGTTTAATGTTTGTTTATACACAGATCATACCAGGCTCATCATCTCCATAATGCGATCAGGTTTGACCTATATCTTCCGCACATAGACAACAGCAAATTCCTATACCTTATCATAAACCCTAATTCTTCCTCAAATTCGTTAATTTTGAGTAGCTGCGTCTGTTAGACGATCAATGGCGACCATATCGAGTTCAATGTCGATCAAACACGGGATTTCACTGTGGTGTCCTCAGTCTCAGTCGCTCAATCGTCAGCACTCTGGTGTGGTTTATTCGAGAACGAGAAGCCTCCACCGGAGAAACTTCGTCGTTTCTGCATCATCCTCTTTTGCTAATGAGAATCGAGAGTGAGTCTGATTTTACTGTTGCTAGTTTGTTCCTTATGTTACACTTTGATCGATTGAGATTCAACTGAAGGGTTTATGGTCGGAATATTGGATTACTTTCAGATTTGTGATAGTTGGAGGTGGAAATGCTGCTGGATATGCAGCAAGGACTTTTGTGGAACATGGAATGGCCGATGGAAAGCTCTGCATCGTTTCCAAAGAGGTCTTCTCTTTCATTTGTTAATTGATTAGGGTTTAGGGATTAACATGCTACCAATGAATTGCAGGCATATGCTCCATATGAGCGCCCTGCTCTAACAAAAGGTTATCTATTTCCTTTAGACAAAAAGCCAGCTCGTTTGCCTGTAAGCTACTAAGCCAGTTTCCTCAATCTATAAAAATTCAGCTATTTTTGTAGTTTACTTATTATTGTTTCCCACCATTGATACTCTTCTAGGGTTTTCATACTTGTGTGGGTTCAGGAGGTGAGAGGCAAACTCCTGATTGGTATAAGGAGAAAGGGATAGAGGTATTTTTATTTGGACTTCTTTTCTTTATGCAACTAAATAGAAATTATCATTTCACTTCTGTTCCTTTGTGTCTGTTTTACTTTGATTTATGTAAAAGTATAATATATTTAACTACCAAAGTGAAATGCAGATGATTTATGAAGATCCAGTGACAACAATTGATGCAAAGAATCAAACATTGACAACAAATTCAGGAAAAATTCTCAAATATGGAGCCCTCATAGTTGCCACAGGGTGCACTGCATCTAGGTAAAATAAAAAAATAAAAATAGAAAAGATTGTTGTTTATTTTTTGTTAGGGGAAAGGAAAATCTTGAAACTTATCCTCCTTTGCTTCAGATTTCCAGAGAAAATTGGGGGAAACTTACATGGTGTTCACTATATACGCGATGTTGCTGATGCAGATTCATTAATATCATCACTGGTATTTGTTTTTTAATTTATCCTATATCCAACTTGTATTAAGGATATCTATAATTATTATTTTATTATTTTTTTTAGGGGAAAGCACAAAAAGTAGTTATCGTTGGTGGTGGCTATATTGGCATGGAAGTTGCAGCTGCTACTGTTGCCTGGAATCTTGACACAACTGTAAGAATTTACTCCACAATCATTTATTTTATTTTAAATAACAATATTCAATATAACACATAAAATTAAAACTCAGTTGTACAACAACAGGTTATATTTCCAGAAAACCATCTTTTACCAAGGCTGTTTACTCCTTCACTAGCCCAGAAATATGAAGAACTCTACCAACAGAATGGTGTCAAGTTCATGAAGGTTCTCCACCCTACCCCACACACACACATACACACATTAAGAGACTTGATCTTTGTTGACATGATGTTTGATTTTCAGGGTGCATCTATAAAAAGCTTGGAATCAGGTCCTGATGGAAATGTGACTGGTGTTAAACTTGAAAATGGATCCACCATTGAAGCAGACTTAGTAAATAAATTTAGGAATTTACATTTTTGTACAAAGCAAAACTTTTGCTTATTTCATACTTTGCAGGTTGTTATTGGTATTGGAGCAAAACCTGCTGTGGGTCCCTTTGAAAAAGCTGTTACCTTAAATTCAACTGTTGGTGGGATAGAGGTTAGCCTCATGTAATCAATAATTCTAAATGTCAAAAAAACAAAAATTTAATCAATAATTTCAATAAATTACAGGTTGATGGCCTGTTCAGAAGCAATGTACCAGGAATATTCGCTATTGGTGATGTGGCAGCATTCCCACTCAAAGTACACTTTTTTTTTTTTAATAAAAACTAGCTAATTATTGATGACATTTGGATTAATATTATATTTGGTTTTTTTTTTTGGTTTAATAAACAGATGTATGATAGGATTTCACGTGTAGAACATGTGGATCATGCGCGTGGTTCAGCACAGCATTGTGTAAAAGCTTTACTAACTGCACAAACTCACAATTATGATTATCTTCCTTATTTCTATTCGAGAGTTTTTGAATATGAAGGAAGTTCAAGAAAAGTATGGTGGCAATTTTTTGGAGATAATGGTAACAATCTTTGGGATAAATTTATTTTGAGGTAAACTTTGTTTATGAATTGAAATTTCGGATTAAATTTTGTACCCTTGTTGAACAGTTGGAGAGGCAATTCAAATTGGGAATTTTGATCCAAAAATTGCTACATTTTGGTTGGATTCTGGTAATATTCTCTCCCCTCTTTATATTAACTACAACAATAACAATATGTGATTATTGAGAAGTGAGAAGTGAGTGAGGATTAATATGGTTTTGGTGCTTTACAGGTAAATTGAAGGGTGTTCTTCTTGAAAGTGGATCTCCGGAGGTATGTGTTTTTTTTTTTTTTTCAAATTAGGGTGAAATATAAAAAAGCACAACATATTTTCATCATTTTATTGATTTAATCAGTGAAATGTTTTTTTTTTATATGATTGTTATTGTAGGAGTTCCAACTGCTTCCTAAACTTGCAAGGGGTCAACCATCAATTGACAAAGTCAAACTTCAAAATGCAGCTTCTGTTGAGGAAGCCCTTGAGATTGCCAGAGCTTCTTTATAGGTTAGAATTAATCTTTCATCTTTCATTGTTTTATTTCTATTAAGAAAGTATATATGTTTATTATAGCATCCCACTTTCAACTTATTGTTATTATTAATGTGTAGGGAAAAAGGCAGAGTGTATTACGCCATAGTATTTATCTTGAGAGAGGTCAGGATGTGCAACATGTAATGCACAAGGTACAACATGCAGAGCATCTTCTTGGTTGCATTGTATTTAAAGCTTATATGTGAATTTCCCTTTTTGCCCTAAACATGGTGGCTGTAATGAATCATTGCAACGGAAATTATACGTAAGTTGAGTAAAATAAAAAGTAATAATTTTCTTAGCTTCATGTGTAGAACGGAAATTATACATAAGTTGAGGTGTAATAAAAAGTAATAATTTTCTTAACTTCATGTGTAGATTTATTGTTTTAACATGTTATTTATTAAAAAGAAAATGTTATTTCGTTTATGCATATTTGGTGTTTTGATATACATTTGTCGTACATTTGTATTGTGTTGTCGAGTTTTTAAAGAAAAAGAAAAGAATTATTATTTTACTGTAGTTCTTGAGTTAGAAACAAAATTGAATAACAAAATCTACAGCTCTACATGTTTTTCGGTTGAATGAAAAGAAGGCAAAACTGACATGTGTACAAAGGATTAGAATTAGATATTCAGGTTTGATTGAAATATATTGTAGAAGATAACGTTTTTATGTGTTTTTGTTATACGAAATTGTAATACCTATATAGATATATTAGTTGTTTGAGTAATTCAAAAAATCTAATTAAGTAAAAAAATTAATAGATAAAATAGCATTCCCATTTGTTAAATAATATAAATTTATATTATGACAATTAGAGTCGTATTAATTTACTAAATAAGTTCTAAAAGTTAACATCTATAATTCCGACAATTATTTTCTTAAAAACACCAAATATCGTCCTACTTTTCTTCTTAATTATCTTCCTACCTATTTAAAATGATAACAAGTGCCCTAAAATATAATTAATTTTATTAAAATACAACACTTGTCACAATTTCACATAGTTAGGAAGATAAATAGGAAGAAAATGCAAGGACATATTTAATTACTCATATGTTAAAGCAATGTGAGATTGAGAAAGTGATAAACCCCTCAACCGATAATTGTTATTTTTGTCCTATGAGTTTCATAAGATGTCAATACAAAAATATTGCCAAAATTTTGGCAAACAGACCGGATCGGTTGTTAGTCTTGTCCCGTTGACTAACTTTTATTCGAGGTTGATAAATTCTTGATGAAAAAAAAACAAATTTGAATAATTGAAATTGCATGGAGTCAATTATGGTTGCTATGAGATTTCCAGAGTAATGGTTGGAGGTGGATACATGATCGTCTTATTCGTGTCATCGACAACTCTACAACCTCGAAAAGGGTCAACAAGCATCCGTTCCCCTATCACCCTCATCCATTAAACCTCAGTGTTCAACACCCCACCTCCCCTTTCTGCTGGATACCCCTTGATATCCACCGCTACATCACATAGAGATACAACTACCTTATATTATTGACGCTACAACATGAGGATTCTTAAACAGAACCTAAAAAACGTGGATTTGAACACTAGTTCTGAATCAAAACTGAAATCAGGATTTGGGCTGATAGTGTCATGAAGAAGAGAAAGAAAACAATGATGTTGTTTTATTGATTTTTTTTGTTTTTTTTTGCATCTCTATGGCTATTTAATTCCATACATTGAGTGCCTATTTATTTTCCAATCGATCTATATGGATTGATTACAAGTTTGAAATATGGTTATGTGTCTTGAACTTATATTAAATATGATTAATCTTAATTTTGTAACATTTTCAGAGTTGATTAAAATGTGTCATTTTCTCTATTTTTGTTACTGCTATTGCACCAATGAAGTTGCTATTAGAATTTCCATATATTAATAATTAACTCATATTAGCATATCTACCACGTAAGGTATCCTCATGTCATCACTCATCACAAAGATAAGAAATCAAAGTATTTTGCCATTGTCAAACATAAGTAGATCTTTGAGTTATTGATTTTTCTGCATCTATATAGGGTATGACTTAGGAGTGAACTCAAACTATGTACCATAGAAACTACAATTGGTACAAAATTTGCTACCAATACAGAACTAGATATACATGCTACCAACAAGTTTGGTTGGTACAAATTGATAAAAAGTATATATTAACTTCTTTTTAATTTTCAATTGTAATAGTTAAAGACCAACAATGACATGAGACAATTTTGTCGTTTAGTAAAGAAATTAGTAATGTAATAATACCTATTGACTAAGGCTAATATTGTGCTCTTAAAATTGTAAACACCAAGCACAATTTACAATCAAAATTTATGATGTGTTAAGTATGGATTTGACAAATCTGCTTGGTGGGTCAGATACTGCTGTATTCAAAGGGATTCTAAAGCAGTGGTTTGATTCAGTTGTGTTATCCATGATTTGGTTGCTTTGGATGCATCACAATGACAATTTTCAGAGCAAGAAGAATGTAATTGGAGTTTATTTCTGATTCAGTTACATCCATTTCTTAGGATGAATTCCACATGTAGTATGTATAATGCTTGATTCGTTTGAAAATTCTGTATGCCAGGTTAAAAAGAAAGGTAATACTGTAATTTTTGTTTTCATTAGGACAATGCTGCAACTAAATCCAAAACTGATAATTTGACCCTTAAATAAGATGATCCAAATCAGAATCATATCATCTTAATACTAAAAACTGATTATATGCAAATTGAAATCAGAATCCATTGGTATATATCTTTGTGCAGAGAATTAAATATGCATTATAAAAGAAACAGGAAAGCTAGATTCACTACTTTTGTATACATAAATTAAAAACCTTTGATTAAATGACACAAAATATGTATATTGAGGTTATTCTTTTCTTACTTCTTCATTAAAAGCACAACAGTATGAGCTGCAATACTTCTATTTTCTCCAAGACTGTCTACCTTCTCATGTGTTTTAGCTTTGAGGTTCACAACAGTAGGGTCCGCACCTAGAAGCAAAGACAAATTGGCTCGAATTGCCTCTTTATGAGGGCTTAATTTTGGTCTTTGAAGTATCAAAGTCGCATCTAAGTTTCCTAGCTCATAACCAGCCTCATCCATCAATCTCACCTGATATCATATTTTAAATCAATTCACATTCCATACTGTAATTATAAGTTATAACAACCCCTTTTTAATACTATGTTGAGTCCTAGATTTTCTTTTCAACAGAAGCCTTAGGGAAAGAGTAATTGGTTGTTCTTTTAATGCTAGCTTGATTTCTTAGGTCAGGATTTGGGGTGCAACAGATACATTGTAGAATATGTTTGAGTGATAGATGCAATGAGTTAAAAGAGTTGATCATAAAGTTTGAAATTTTGATAGAAATTTACAGCTTCTTTGATGAAAACGGATGAGGCTGCTCCTTTCCATTTAGGATCCGAGTCTGGAAAGATCTGTCCAATGTCAGGTAGACCCAAAGCACCCAAGATTGCATCAACAACGCAATGCAACAGCACATCACCTAAAACACCACAATCAATCAGAAGAAGAAAAAAAAAACTACTCTTTTTCAATAAATGTGAAGAATGATTTGCATAATACGGTTTAATGATCGTTAACACTTAATATAACATTTCAAATTTATCTTTGCACTTTCCATTTCTAAGTTAGGTAACTCAGCTGCAAGTCTATTATGTTTCATACTTTTTGCCCCACTCAAATGGGTACATTCATCAAATTTCACAGAAATTCGCGACTGTTCCATCAATTCTATCTCATACAAGTTTCATATGCTCAGAAAGTAAGGTTTGGAGAGATAATTACAAACAGTTAAGATAAATTTGAGAATTGTAATTGTATATTATGAAGTCCATAGAAAATTTCAAATAGAAAACCAAAAGAAAGAACTGAATCAAGTGGCATAGTTGGGATCAGATAATCGCCATAGATTAAAGTAACAATACAACTTACCATCGGAGTGCGCTTCGCAACCTCTGTCATGAGGAATATCAATGCCTCCGATGATGAGAGGGTATCCAGGTTCCAATCTATGAAGATCAAACCCGTGGCCGACTCGGAACGGGAGAATCTTCGAAGGAGTTATCGCGACGGCCGGTTTCTCAGCTTCAACGGCGTTGGCGGCTGCCGCAACTACCACCGGCCGTGATATCGACCTGAGAGAGATAGGTGAGCGTCTGGTGGAGCAGGTGAGGAGAGAGGTGGAAGAAGGTAGAATGGATTGTTGTTTCGAAAAGGCTCCGGTGTGGAACGGAGACGTGTAACACGATGAAGTCGTCGCCATGGCTACTCTGTGGTTTTGCTTGTGAATTGTGAGAGGTGATATGGTGTGTTTTTGAGCTGTGGAGTGATTTTATTCAGAGGTAGGATTAGGTGTGTGCTGGTGCAGGTATCGAGCTTATAAGCTAAAGCCAAGCCATTTATGATTGAACTTCTATTCTAAAAGCATCTATTTATGGTGATGCTCTTTCATGTTGAATTTTTTTAATAAACTTTCTAAATGGGAGCCATATTTGTCTTAGAAACTTTTGTAAATAATTAACATGTTAAATATGAATCAAAAAATTATATTATCACAATAACAAGCTATGCGGATATACTTTTGGTGGTTTTAAACCCAAAAGGCTGATTTGACTGTTTCCTAAGTTTATTTCAGGCTTCCAGTTTGTTAGGACGATAAATAAACGAACATGTACATATATATTTATGCAAATAGATAAGTTAACACAAACATAAGTAATAAGCCTTCAAATTCAAACTTCCAAAACATTTACAATTTGAAAATCATCATTCAGAAATAGAAAATGATTTAAAATGATAACAAAGTATCAGAAGCGCACAAAAGACACTATTAAACTTTTTGTGTAAACGTATTAGCAAACAAGTATAACTTTGGTAGACGTATATCATTAAACTTACATTTTGTTCAAAAAATATCATTGTGTTACCAGTAATAATAAAGACGTATAGCATGTCATGTGGTTGTTGATGTATATTTTACTGTTTATTATGTACAAATTATGTAATTAAACTGTTTTTGTATATATTTTACCGTTAATCTTATATAATTTGTTCAAAAAAATACATATTGTTACATAACAATGGATTTAAACTTAATTGAAACCAATGTTTGAACCAAATACCTCTCTTGACCTTATAGGATGCTAAGCCTTAACATATAAGCCACCAAGATGGTTGTTAATATTATAAAACACAAATAGTTTTTTTACAAATAAACTCAAAATATTTCAATATATAAATACGTATTTTTGCATACATATAAAATATATTTACAATAAGTATGTGTTTTTTGTGTATAAATAGACATTTCAATGTATAAATATATATTTTGACATTTGAAAACTATAGTGTGGTTATATAGTATACATTATTACATGTAAATATATGAATACATAAATTCTCAATTATTCCATTATTTTAGCCGAAGTTAATCATGTAGAGTAAAGCTATAATAGTTTGTATAACTGAGCATTTGTTTATTTATACACTAGTTTATAACTCGTGGAAACCATGGTTACAAAATTAATTAAACTTTAATAGTAAAAAAACTCAAAATTATTAATCAGTTATTTTAAATAAATTATTAATTAAGAGATTTTTTTAGTTATATAAAATTATAATCATTGATTTAAATAAATATGTAAAATTATATCATTTTATAATTTATATTAACTTTATTTTAATTTTTATTCTAATGTTATTAATTTAATGTAATTTGAGTTGAAAATTTAAAATTTGAAATTTGAAATGGATAATCAATAGGTTGACAAGTGACATGCATTAATTAGGAAATATAATAGGATGACACATGACAAAAGAAAAATAAAATATGTATTAATTATGAATGCCTAATATGGTGACACATGTCAAAAGGAGAATAAAACTATTCTTTTATTAGAATAGGAATATTTGAATGTAATAATGTATATCACATGACGAGACTATGGCTTTTAAATGTAAAAATATGTATCTACACATTGAAATGTCTTATTTATAAACAAAAAAACACATTTTTTTGTAGAAATATTTTATATGTATGAAAAAAATGTATTTATGCATTGAAATACTTTAAGCTTATTTGTAAAAATACTTTATATGTATGTAATAATGTGTATTTTTTTAACAAATTATATAAGATTAATGTAATATGTATACAATAATAGTAAAATACGTACAAAAAGGCTTAATGGTATAGTAATATATACATATCAGACATTAAAATCCACGACAACAACCACATGGCATGATACTGGTGACCTACTATTACAAATAACGTAATGATATTTTTTAAACAAAAAGTAAAGTTTAATGGTCATACGTGTACAAAAAGTATAGTTGGTTGGTAATTCGTATACACAATGGTACTTTTTGTACAATTCTAAAATTTTGCTACCCTTCTAGGTCTTTTTCCCTTTAGAAATTTCCATACTAAACAAGCCCCATGAGAAGATCCAAATAGATAACTCAATGATAAAAAGTGTATGTAACATCTTAGTTACGAAATCTCACAAAGGTATATATTTGTAATTTCAAAATCCTATAAGGGTATAACTGTAATTCCAAAAATTCCTTACGAAACTACAAGTCTACAAGCAGCAAAACTGTGCAACCAAATCAATCATTTTGTGTTCTTTACAAGCACTAACGATGTGGCAACTATAGCGAAATACCTAAAGTACCCTTAGGCGAGTCTAAAACATGTCTTTCCCGTTTATCAGATCTAGACAAGGTAATCTAACCGAAAAATTGAGCAGATGCAGACTCGAGAGCAATTTTGGTAAAAGTATTGTGGAGAAAGCATTGAGGTTATAATTGGAAAGTTCCCAATTCCTGTCCATGCCTCTTGAGTAATACTTGCCTTCCACTGGCCCATTCTAGCCTGTATGAGAGATCAAGATTATGAAGCAAGTTTTTCAATCTGTCCATTTCACTCAAGTCCTTTGAATTATCCTGTCAAATGAAGGGTAAAAAGGTCACAATCCATATTTAACTATTGATATTATCCATGGTATATATTACAAAATACCTGTGAAAAGTGCTTCCCGTTACCCATTACACTTGCCATTACACTAGATCTTGTGGAAGTAGGAGAGAAGCCCTCCCATGGAGGAACAAATATCAGTTTAGTGCATTGAACAGGAACAAGATTCCTACTAAGCTTTTCCCACCACATGGATCCCAATGACCACCATCTGATCATTAAACCATGCTCAGAGAAAGCTATCAACCCCTGCCATATATTTCAAAAAAAAATTAATTAATTGAAAAACTTTTATGCATAACACATGACATATAAAGGTTTGTGATGAATGGTTGTACCTCTCCATCAGGTGAAAAGCTCAACACAGAAATTGCAGTATTTGCAGTCGTTTCAGAGGCTCCTCCAAGCAAGGTTGGAAGCCCTGGAGGTCCACTAGCATCCAATATCTTTATTTTTGTCATACTACATTTATACAAAAATTAAAAAAAATGTCATCTATGCAACAAAATAATCAAATAACCAGCTGTAATAAAACATGATGTGGAACCTTTGCATTTCGTACACACGGATGATAGCTTTGTTAATATCTCCGATTGCATCCCCAACAGCTAACCGAGTAGATGAGTCATTAAGGGCTACCATGGGAAAAACACGCACAACTTCTTTTAATGCTGCCATTGAATTTTGTAAGCAACTTCTACGCATGGCCATGTTGCCAGGGTCCATTGTCTGTAGAATAAAATTCACCACCTGCAACCTGGCTAATTTGTTAAACATGATATAGGAAAAGGAAAAACTTGCAAACCAAACATGCCCTTATATAATAATTAAGAAAGGAAAAACTTGCAAACCTTATCAAGGTAAGGAGCCAAATTTCTAGGGGACCCACGAGCAACTCTGATGAGGGTCATGAGGGAGACAATATGAACAGGTGAATCAGAAGCAGTAGACCAAATTTGTCTTTCAATCACATGTAAAAAAGATGTGACATCAGCCATTGCTAAACTGGGTAAAAGAATCCCAACCAAAGATTCCCGGATCTCAAGATTTGTTGTCATTGGCTTAACAGATTGGCCCCTCACATGCTCGATTTGAAGGAAAATATCCGAAATTAAACGAGGTATTTCTGAATTCATGCAAACACTCCATATCCCCTCCATACCTTCTGCCAGAATCTCAGCTGCTGTAGAACTATATTTTTCATTCATAGCCATAACTAATTTTAACAGTGGATGTATGACCAGATTAGCAAGAGTTGACTTTACAAGACTTGGGTACCAAACAACTAAAGCAGCAGCAACAACAATGTGAGAAGTCATTGCATCTTGACTTGTCCCCCCTACACATGATACCCAGTCTTGTCGTTCAAATGACTCTAGCCATGATAACATCTCGGAATCCTCCTTTCCGTTATCATCGTTGGAATTGTGATTCCGGAGTGGAAATGGAATTGCCCTTGAAGCTGCACAGTGGAACAATGAACGTGCTGCCATGCGGACATGTTCACTTTTGTCTTGCCAAAAGCTAATTAAAAGCTGCACATAAAAGAAAAAGAATCAGAAAACAATGCAAACAAACACTATAAGGTTTAGGGTTTCTGTTGCATACATGCATATGAATTAATTACCTGGAGTAAAGGTGGCTTAATGTCGGGAAATTTCTCTGCGAATTTCCGTGTGTAAAATGCAGCTAATGCACTGCAAATAAAAAGTTTGTGATTATCTCACTATCTTTTACATATTACTTTAATCTCTATTCTCTAACCATTTTGTATTACTAATTGAAAAATGTTGGTTTACCTGCTTGCAGTGGAGCATGAATGAGACAAACTAATCATGTGTTGAGCAAGGGACACTATAGTTAAAGACCTCATTGCACAGAACTCTGAAGATGATCTCCAAAGCTGAAACATTAACATAAATGTATTAGATGTGAACAATGATTTTAACTTACAATTGTTAACAAAGAGAAATTGTACCTCTAATGTTGCACTTGGACCAGGAAATGTCAATGTGAGAGACCCTCTGTCCCCAAGCAAACCAGAAGCTACAAAGAAATTTTTGGGCTTCTTGAGCTTCATCTCAGAAACTAACAGCTTGTCAAGCTCATGATCAACATCCCACAAATGTAAAACTGATAAGCTGAACCGAAATAAACATCCTTCTATTGAATGAGCCCAATCAGTGTATTCTGTAGGACCCACATGGGTTTCTTGATCTCCATCTGTACTCAGAGAGCTGTTGATTCTTTCCAGTCCCTTTTTGGGTGTCTGGATCTTAGGTTCATCATTCTGATTTTCAGAAGATTCAGCCCTAAGTGACATCAATGAAGTCATATCAAAAGTCAATGTTGCAATTCCTGGGAAAGGGCAAGAGCATGTAATCGGATATCCGTTGCTTCCGTGGGTCCCATGTTGAATCATCCTTGTAGTGGCATGAGATAAATCTGTTGTTGAAGCAACGCGTTTCTCTGGAGTATTTGGATGAGATTGCGAAACTTGTGTATCTTCAATCACTGGAAGAAGCAATGAGGAAGCAGAAGTGTTCCTCTCCATGGAACTTAGAGAAAAGTTATTCTTATTCCCACTTGTACAAAAATGGTCAAACATTGAATGAGCAGCATTCCCACGAAGAACGCGCTCACGTGCACCTGACTTTATATCCCAAATGTAGAGCACATCAGATGCATCAGATGTTGCTGAATGATTCAGTGAGAAACATGCAAGATAGCCTCTAGTACTATCCCATACTACTTTTGAAGGGATATACGGGTGTCCTGGAAACATTCTTTCCACCGTTAAAGTCTCAAGTGAAGCTAAAGCAACACATGAATCTTCTCCAATGGATAAAAAACAATCACTCCATGGACGATCAGTGTGGGGAGGAGGTAGGATTATCTGGCGTACAGGTTGTACATGATGATGCATCACTGCAACAAGATTGCTGGAGTTGAGATCCCATATACGTATTGTGCAATCCATACTTCCAGAGATTAAAAAAATGGTGGAGTTGAATCCTCTTGAGGTATTCACCATTTGATGTGCAGCTAAACATAGTATAGCACCTGTGTGTCCTGAAAGATATTGCTTCCATGCACATGAATCCACCTCTTCACGTGGACTTCCTTCCACTTTTTCAGAGAACATATTGAACCGAAGAACTTCTATTTCTCCACTATCATATCCATAAACTATCGCATAAGGGGAAGAGTCATTTTCAGAAATAACCATTGAAGAAGTCACCACAAACTCCCTTTTTAAAAGACCATTTGCATTCTTTGAACCCACAAACCACTCATCAAAATAGCTTCCTTTCCCAACCAATTTGCATTCTTGATTAAAGTTTTCACCTTTTGCCCATATCGTTATATGGGGTTTCCAATGCACTGGTTCTTCAGTGTGGAGACAGATTGATTCAATTCGCACAAGATTTTGATTCATTAGAACAAAAGAGAACGATAACTCAACATTAGGAGGATGTGAAACAACAGGGATTGTGTATAGAGGCACATATTTGAAACCTTTCCCTGAATATGAATATGATATGGTAAACATAACTACATAGCCTTTGTTGTTCCACACTGCAAAAGTTTCCACATACATGTTATGGTTTTCCTCCATATCTACCACTGTCTGAACGAAACCGTTTCCAAGAAACAGACACCCTGCAACATCATACTGACAAAGTTGATCATCTAAAAGAGAAATCTCTCCAACCTTAGTGCTACCATCCACCAGCTTAAATATACAATAGGTTGTATACAGAATCGCTAAAACCTGCCCAGAAGCAGCGAATGAAATTGGAAGTTCCCCTTCACTTGACTCTTGAAGCAAATCGGTCATTTCCATGTGAGAAGAATTCTTTTGTGAGTCATCTGAAATATCCTCACTCCGGGTGGTATCCTTTAGTAGTGATACACATTGCATGTTACCAAATGAGTCAGCCATCAGCACTGATTCCTTCTCCATATCACCAACAGGTGTCACTATAGACATGAACTTGAAAGGCCCAATAGATAAAGTACCACGAAACACGGTTTGCACTATTGTTAGGGTATATGAATCGATTATTACAACTGTGCATCTTGAAGGTTTCTTATATTGTGGTTCTATATTTGTCGAAGGTTCACCTAATTCAGTAGAATAATCAAGTGACTGATGGTTGTCTAATGAATTAACAGAGTCAATGAAATGACAGGCAACACATACATATCTCCTATTTTCAGGTAAAGCTTGAACCATGTATGGACTCCCAACCCAAGCTGGCATTTTCCTTCTACGGCTGCAATGTCCACTGTCTCTGCCCCAAACCGATAATACACCATCAGTACACGCACTTATTAGAGAACCATAGTTAACTGAACTAGAGTTTGGTGCCACATTACTTGGATCGCTTATCTTTTCATCTCCTAGAGTCGATGCAGGGAAACAGATACCCATGTCAGAAATTGGTGCAGTATGACCACATAAGATAGCAACCGGTTTAATGTCCTGACAATAGAAATACTCATCAACATGACAAGTGGATGCCTGTTACTTATAGGAAATAGAAAACTTTTGGTGATTGAGGGTTGCAATTGAAAATTGGAGTGTTAAAACTAAGCAATAGGGACCTAGGCAGAATGAGAAACACGTACAGAACTTAAAATTAGCAATAGGGACTCTCAAATAGTCATAATTAACTTCCATACATCAATGGATAAAAACTATCGTCAAAATTGTTGATAAAGAGTTTGTTTGTAAACATTAGTTCTGATGGAAGCATGGAGCTGGAATAAACTATTCAGATTACAGTAGCAAAACAAGTGAAATATCCAAAACATCAATGTTAAGTTTGCATTACTGAAAGTGTTACATTTGATTTAACAGAATTGAAGAGTGGATTCTAGAACCAGTTATGAAAAAAGTGTAGCATTTAGATGTATTCCTGATCTTTTCCAATTCGGAAAGGAACTCCTAACAGATTAATGAGGAGTATGCCCTTAGTTGGAACAATAAGCAAAATTCTAACAAGTCCAGATGTAAACAATAGAAATCCAACACAAAATCACTGAAAAATCACTGCACTAAACAAAACCTAATTAAAATTCATGATCAGATTATAAGTTAAGAGGATGACTGAGTTTCAATTGGTTAAACTTACGTGATCGGAATTAGTTGAAGATAAATTCCACCAGAAGATGGTGCCATCGGATCCGCCGGTGTAGAGAGTCGACGGACGGTCAAGTACGGCGGTGGCGGTAACTTTATGGACCGGTGGCGACTCTGACCATACACAAGCAACAGATCGACACTTCATCGGCGAACAGCTTCTTCAGACCTAGCTGGACGGATCATACAGGAGATGAAATAGATAACCGAACACCGGAAAGTTGCTTGAATTTTTTCTCCTTTTACCTTAAAAATATACTAAATTATAGTATAAGAAAAAATGTAACAAAATTACCAACCAAGAATAACTTGAAAAAAAAAAAAAAAGCTTTTTTATTGGACAAATTGCATAAAAAAATGTTAAGTCTACACAAAATTTAAAATTTATGATTTTGTTTTTCTCAATTAAGTCACTGAAACACCACTTAAATAATTTTATATTTTAAATCCATTTAAAGTATTTTTAGAATGTGATAAACATCTTTTATGGAAATTAGATCCCAATACAAATATCATGGCTTTCAAAATGTCCATAAATCATCTAAGCCTCAATCATTACTCACACCTAAATACATGTTAAAGTAATTGGTTAGATATTATGAATGTCTAGTGACTAATATCAAGACTTCATCATGTTGTAGTTAAGGATTAGCTCAATCTATAACCTATGATAAATTCCTCAAAAATCATTTGAAAACCCATAGAACATCTTTAATTCTTCTGATAAAATCTTTTTTTCCTCTTTACTCTAAAACTATGTGAAGTCATTTACATCTCGTAAATATCGTTACTCTCTTTTCTCTTTGACACATTCAAAATATATAAACATTTAAACACAACATAAATGGAAAGTATACAATGCAACATGCAACTACACTTAACCCCATTCATCTTTTTATCCCACTCACTTGTTCTTATTTCATAATAGCAATGGAGACTATGACATAGTTAGCACAAAGAACACTACATCACAACTGTTAGGTTGCACGTCTATTCCTGATTTTTCATTGCATTTTAAATCTTAGTTCTTGCATTTAGTTAACTATTTGGGCACTTACATGTTTTATTCAGAATGTCTGGTACTTCACTATCTTTTGATTTATTTTGCAGGCTTAAGGAGATAGCATGGAGCTTAGATGATGGAGCTTGGAGCATTGGAGCATGAAGAGAAAATGGATCGGTCGTGTTGTGGAAGAGGAATTGAAGACACAACCCGAGTTGTTGCATTTCATCAAAGCAAAGGACCACGTTTGAAGCACGGTCCATGTCACACTGACAGGGGTCATGTTTGTCCTTTTCATCATATATTTGAGCGACATGACTCGGGGTGAAGCTAGACCGAAGACGGAGCCAAGTTTAAAGACTTAATGGAATTTTAGCAAAAAGCACGGTCATGTTGAAAAGACATGGTCAAAACACATGGTCAAAACGCATGGCCTTATGGCAAGCACTTGGCAGTTATTGTGGGGATAAATAGGAGGAAATCGACCTTTTTCAGAGAGATACAGTTTCTAGAGCGAATGGGGGGGGGGGGATTTGGGAGAATTTTTGGAGCTTTTGAAGATCTCTAATCATTGCAAACACTTTTGATTTCCATTTGTAAGCATAGCACAATTTTAATTCCATCATTTTTTTTGTTTGATTTGTTCTTAGCCATGTGTGGGTAAGAAACCCTAATTTTTGTTCTTGTTCAAATCATGTTGATTGCTTGACTTGAAGCATATGGCTTGACATTTGATTTATGATTCTATTTTAGTGATTATGTTCTTTTTTAAACTAGAATCCTTGAATTTGATTTACGTTTGATTGGTCACTTATATGAATTGAATTCTTGTGTAGTTAATTAAATTTTAGGTCACCTAACCGTTCTATAAAGTTAATGATTGGTAACAAACAATATGTTTTCTTATTATAGAACATATATCACATGTTTTCACACTTCCGAGCGTATGAGAAGAAATGAACATTGTTGGCAAGCTTGTACAAAACTTAATGTAGTTTTTCAATATTGTAACATCCTAAAAACTAGATAGAAATTTTCATTTTCAATTAGGAATTACAGCCATAATTTGTTTCCAAAATCCATTACAAAATAAACATGTCAAATTATCAGAGTAACAACATCAGTAAGTGCGGAAAATAGTGGAGAGTGCATGCTGCACCATCAAGTCGGGCCCTTCCCTTTAGTACCGGAAGTACCTGAAACCACAATACAAATTGTAAGCAAAAGCTTAATGAGTTTCCCCAAAATACCACATAACATACAAACAATTGTCATGGGCTACCCCCATGGTCTTTTTCCATGAAATGTCATGGTCTACCCATATGGTCTGATATCCAAGTGTCATGGGCTACCCCCATGGTCTTCCATACAAGTACCAAGGGCTACCCCCGAGGTCTTTCAGACAAGCAACCACACAAACAATTATCGATCCACATGACAAGTAATGGGTCGTCATTGGTGCCTTCGACCCATTGATATAGTGAGGAGACTCACCTCGGTTTGCTGGTAAATACTAACTGCTCGGCTACCGATCCGACAATCTCACACTGAATATACACAAATTACCCTAATCAGAATTAGGTCACAGAGTCAAAACATGGGCCAAAACCCTAAGTCCAAATTCCTAAAATATGACCCATTCGCCTTCCACATAATGGGCCTAACCATATTCGGCCCAACCACAATAACGGACTCCATGGCCCAAAAATCCTAACCATGACACACAAGGCCCATAATAGAAAATTGGTCCCACCTATTCTAAACAGGCCAAGGCCCAAAAGTCGCACAAGTCTAATAATTGACCAACAGCCTACTGGACGTACGCGCAGCGTAACATCAGTACGCTTAGCGTACTCGATCCTCAAGCATTACGTGCAGTGTACATCTTAGTACGCCCAACATACTAAGTTGCTAAGCACTTTTATTCATTAAGTGCTTAATCCATGCAGTCACTTCGTCAACTTCCAGATCTCGGTCAGTTAAGGGATCCTAGGGCATAAAGTTGGCAACTTTATGCCTTTTCATGCCTTATGGGAGCCCCGACATCCCATTTTGTCCATTAAGACTCACTTTAAGGATCCATATTCATGCATAGTGCCATAACAACCATCAAGATAGCATTTTTTATGCCTCTAACACACCAAAGGGACTAAGATCTAGCATTACAAGCTTCTGGAGTTGCCCAAACTCACAAAAGAGAATCTATGGACCAAAAATGAGCTTATGAACAAACCCTAACTCTAAGTATCAAAAGGATTTACAAGGTAGAATCTTTTTACCTCTAAAATCCTCTTAAGAAGGTGTAGAGTCAGGATCTTGAAGCTCAACCACGTCCAAGGCTTGCTCACCAACTTCTTCTTCTTGCAAACACACCAAAAAGGCCACCAAAGTCACTTTCAAGCTCAAGGATCACTCTCAAAGGGTATTAGGGTTTGTAGGGACGTTCAAAGGCAGTGGAGGCTGATAAGAGTGAGGGTTCAAGGTCATAAGTGAACTTAAAAAGGGCTCATGCCCTAAAATTAGGGTTTTAATGAATGGTTATGTACGCCCCGCATACGCTTCATACGCCTAACATACGTGGCCTAAGGTCTCGACTCCGCATGCACTTGTACGCTAAGCGTACATAGACGTATGACCAGCGTACGAAGGGACTTCATTTGCAAAAAACTCAACAACCCAATGACTAAAAGGAACATACCAAAATCTGAGTGTTACAAATACAATATAAGAGCATGTTTAGGTTGAATTAGTAAAGCTAGGTCTAGTCAAAGAGCGTGTTCTGGTTAGATAATTTGGCAAGCGAGAGGTATTAGAGTGTGTTAATATCTTTCGGTACCAACTTAGAATAGAAATCATGAATTACATCAAGACATAATCAAGTTAAATGACAACATTGAGAACTAGAACTAGAACCATTCCAACAAATTGTTTACAAATCTGTTTAGTTTTCTGCATATTTTCAAAGTAGATTTTTATTTATATTATTTCAAATTTTGCATACAAACCCACATTTTTTATATGACTAAAGTACCTTGTGCAAAAAGGTATAGACTTTTGTCCTGTGTCTCTGAGGATCGACCTGACTTGCCTTGTACCACTTATTAGTGCATTGTAGCACTGTATTTAGAGTCTATTGTACCCCTATTATTTGTTGGGTTTGACACACCTAACAACAACTCCCCTCATTTCTCTTTATTCTCACATGGGTATGGGTGTGCTATCAATCATTGGTCCCATACTTGAGGTATCTAGCCTCAGGTACAAGTGGGCATGTATAGAATACCATACTACTCTTTGTTCTTTATAGTTCTCATTTGCAATGGACTTTGGAGGGATACACTAGTCTTTTCCCACTCTTACATAAATGCACATATATTAATGCAAATACTCTTAAATTTTCTTTAACTCTTTACTTTTTATGAAACTCTTTTATGAAAATATTTTCATGAATGCACATATAGATGATCACATATTGAAACACATAGAAAATAGTTGAAGTAATCTCAAACAATTTCTCATTGTAAAACATTTTGTTTTTAAGGAACATGTATTCGATAGTACTCACTTCAATGGAATCAAAGTTATTATTCTATTCTTAAGCTTGTATAACCATCAAACACTACCTATTGTCATTAACAAATATTTGTTACAAAATGACTAAAATATCCCTATAGGGTTCTTAACACTTTTGACTTCATTATAAACTTGTTTCTCTTATATTAGCTTATACTAAGAATTTTGGAGCAATCGGAAGTCGAATACTAGGATTTTCATAAAGTCAAGTACACTTAACAAGGGTTGGACATGCCACTTGTGGAATTGCACTAGAATTCCACATGCCCCAATGTGAAAATTTTCTCTTTTAAGTTATGTGCATTGCACTAGTATCTTCAAATGCTCACCAAACTTCATCAAGGGGTTTTAATGGACCAAATTAGGGTCATTAACATTATATATACTAAATTAAGTCCTATCTTCTTATGACTTAATCATTAAGACCTTTAGAGGTAATATAAGCTTTAGGAATGCTTATATGAACATCATAATACCAACAAAGATCTTGATAATTCCAAATGAACAATTCATCAACATTGATTTATCTAAGCTGTTATTCCATCCGTAATCTCCTCATCTATCATTCATGAACATCCAATTAAGTCATGGAGCTTAAGACATTGGAATCCATGGAATGGAATTTGAAGATTCCATCCATGAAGTTCCTCCA